CCCTCCTACCAATACTTGACTTTTACTTTCTGCTTGGCCTTTTGTTTACTTTTCCATCTTGATTAACATTAATGTTATCAATTTAAATTATTGTTTTAACTGTTTTTATGTATGAGTAGACGCAGGCTAGAAGGGCGGGATAAAAATCTAATAATAAATAAATAATATACATAAATAAATAAGAACAGGGCCAGGCTCATGTCTGTGTTTATTTGACATGGATAATTAAGAATACAAAGTTACCTATGTATGTCTGAACAGACACAGTGTTATTTATGAGATTTATATCCCTGTTTTCCACCGAATCATGTTTATGGTACTCGAATAAGTTCAGGGTAAAGGACAGAATAGCAAAAACACCAAAACAAGGGTGATGAACACATGAACGAATACATGAAAACAGCCAATTGAGCAAACTATTGTATATTTACAGTAGCTATAACAAGCAGCCAAAGGCCTGTGCAAATAAAAATGTCTTTGCCTAAAGGTGGAACATGATCAGAGAATGAGCTAAATAGGCCTTCTGAGTCCAAGAGCCTGAAGGCATTCAGCATGATGGCCTATCCTCAGATTCCTGCCATAAATCCTGTTGTGCAATTAGGCAAACAGCCTAACTTGTAAATGCAAATTGCTGAAGTTTGAGAAATAGTCAGTATTATTTGTTGCATGCCAAGTCACGTGTCTCAGTATGCAGCAGATAATATCTGTGGACTTACAGCCATTCATTCCTGAAAGTTACACCATTTCTGCAGTTGAACAACAGGATTTCATTAAATTGTAGAAAATGAAGTTGGAAGGGGACTACAGGGCCATCAAGTCCAACCTCCTGCTCAACTCAGGAATCCAAATCAAGGGGTACCTGCCAGGTGGTTGTTTAAGTTTCTCTTGAATGCCTCCAGTGTTGGAGCACTCACCACCGCTCTAAGTAATTGATTTCATTGCTGTACTGCTCTAACAGTTAGGAAGTTTTTTCCAGAGAGTGTGGTATAATCCCTTTGTTTCAAGTTTTCTTTAACAAGGTGTCACAGCTTCAAGCTGCTAAAAGGTAAGAACCTATCCCATTTTGATAGTCTAATTGAGATTTTGTCAGTTTTAAAGACAGTTCGCAGAGTAAATTTCTGGATGCTAGTAATGAATATCTGTAATAATTATTATTACGGTGCCATCAAATTATTTCCTAATGAATGATCTCTAGAAGGTCTGAGTATTAACAGCCTTGGTCGCATTTCACAATTTAAAGGCTATGGCTTTATTTGTTGAGTCAATCATATTTGATCTTTTTCTCTTTTTTCCTGCCTTCAACTTTTTCTAGCAGAACTGTCTTTTTCAATTAGTCTTGTCATGACATATCCAAAGTAGAGTAGCCTCAGATTATCATTTTAGCTTCTGCTGAGAGTTTGAGCTTGCTTTGACCTAGAATCCATTGATTTCATTTCTGTGATGTATTATTCTTGTTAAAGGCCATTTAAAAAAAATAAAAACAAAATAAAGTACAACATGAAATGTCAAGTATTATTTATAGACATTTGGAAACCATTTCTAGAAGCTTATAGATCTTGTTATTTTTGCAGTTGTGTCTACATTCTATAGTCTGTTCATTCTTTCTGTTTTTGTTTGTATTTGTTCTTCCATTTTTAGCATAATAAAGTTTAATGAAAGATTTTAAAAATGTACAGTTAAGCATAAAATGTTTAAAAGACTAGTTACTTTAGAACAGTTTTGCACTCATGTTAACAAATATGCCTGTGTCACTGGTAGAACCTAAAGAAGGAAACTCCCCCCTGAAATATTTTTAAAAAACACAGAGGCTCATATGGAGAGATACAGCCTTTCACATAGCCTGGACACTCATTGTGTACTACAGTGTATGTTGTAACTAGCATTACCATTAGGAGTAGATTCCTCTTGTCCAGTCCCTCACATAAATTGTCCACCATGGTCACTAAACTTTCCAGTCACTGGGCCTAAAACCAGATTGAAATGGATATAAATATTCCATCTCATCCAGGAACCCTTCAATATGAACAGCCATGCCACACTTCAATACTTTGTCCAAGAATAGAATATTTGTCCAGTATGGTGGGATTCAAAGGGCTAAAGATCCACAAGACTTCTGTCAGTTATAGCATCCACGTCAGAGTGGATCCTAGTGACTTTGTATGTACAATGCTGTGCATATTATTCACTGTGGTCTGTCAAGTAATCTGCATCCTTTTGTTTATGGGGCAGCATGCATACAACTTGGACAACTCAAATCAGGTCTGCTTAAAGCTCTGCAGACTCAACAGTGGCAGGAAATATTTATTTCTTTGATGCTGCCACGACCACTATGGAAAAGGATTCCAGTGTGCTCTACCTTACATTATTTGGATCCATTCTTTAGTTTTCCACCATTGTCACTTCAGTGTCTGACCCACTTGCTCCATCTTCACCAGCCCTACTGTAAATCAGAGACTAGTTTGGCTCCACACTGTGGAAGGGAATACTTAGGAACAGTTGTTTTTTTCAGCTTTGGCCATTTCTCAGTTCTACAGGTCAGCTTTGGCAGGGTCACCAATTCAGGCAATTCCCCAAGAGCTGGCACGAAACCATTTGTTTCCAAACTTCCTAGGGCAGACTGCTTCACCCCTTGCAGAGGTTCTGAGTATGAGACAGCATATCCCACCAGGTAATGATTTGTCAATGAAAGCCTAGAGTTCCACCACACCCAAGTCAGCATAATACAGTCCAACATAGGAAACAAGATCCAGCCTGTCATCTGCAGGATGGATGGAGCCAAATATCACTTGGAACAAACCCACAATCATCATAAGGGATAAAAAGTCCTGAGTCATTGCTGGTAAGATTATGTTATCATAGATGCTGAAGTTCCCTCAGCATCACTCTCGAGGCTAGGTCCGGAAGGGAAATTTGTCACCTGGGTGGACAGTACATCAACAGAATTCCTATTCTGTTTTGGGCACCCACGTTCAGGTCCCAGCAAAGGATACCTGAAGGACTGCCTCCTTCCATATGAGCCTACCCAGCAGTTAAAATCTAGCCAGGGGGCCCTTTTGACAGAGCCATCCCTCAAGGAGGTAAGAGGGATGGCTTGTAGACAAAGGGCCTTCTCGGCAGCTGCCCCCAGACTATGGAATGCCCTCCCAACTGAAATTCGTCTGGTGCCGACATTGATGACATTTCGGCGCCAGGTCAAAACCTTCCTGTTCCAGAAGGCTTTTAATTGAAATAACATCAACTGTGGGTCCTGATGGCAATTTTAATTGTTTTTTAATCATTTTATCTTTTATTGTATTTTAATTGAATTTTAATTTTTGTAAGCCGCCCAGAGACCTTTGGGTAGAGTAGGTAGGTAGGTAGGTAGGTAGGTAGGTAGGTAGGTAGATAGATAGATAGATAGATAGATAGATAGATAGATAGATAGATAGATAGATAGATAGATAGATAGATAGATAAAGGGAGAGGGCTTCTAATGAGGGTGGTAGAATCTTGATAGATCACTGCAGTTCCACCTTCTGCTGCACAGAGAATCTTGATGGGCAAGGCCTGTCATAATATATTCCTCAGTTGATATATCAGTAGGCTTAATCTGGGTTTAAATTTTCCTGCAATTTGTCAACTTTTATGGAATAGATCTTTTGTTTTCTCTTTTTTTAGTTTTCTCTTTTGTTCCTTTGGTATAATAATTAACCGTCATTAATACTTGACTTTAGCATGCTTTGTACCTCACTTCCCTCCTCCAGCAAAATACCTGGGCGCTATCTTCAAAACTTTGCTTCTTAATTAATTTTACCTTTTGTTGTGGCCTAAGAAATGCACAGAAGATCTTGCTGAACTGAGGACTCTCGAGGTTGTACCAAGGCATTTGTGTTCAAAGCCATGTTTTCTTTCAGCTTCTGTAATCTTATTCTACAATGCACATTTCAGAGAGAACAGTACTCTTCATCAGCAAGTGGAACAAATGTTTCAGAAAATATCACCTTTAAAAAAGTGTCAGGAAGAGCTGGGGTCTGTGAAAGCAGAGCTAGAGGAGAAAAAGGTAACTTTCCAATTGTGAAGTAAAAGTATATATTGAGGCCTGCTTTGAGGCATCGCAGTTCTCAGTCAGCTTACTATATAGACTAAGCATCTGTACCTTGAAACCTGTAATAGGCTGGTCTAAAAAAAGGAGGTCAGTAAATCCCATAGAGGTTGCTTGTGAACTATCTCATGATCCCATAAAATATAGTGTGCTTTCACAAAGGCAAGCTAACTGTGGGCACTTAAAGGATCCCAGTCTATTTCTTTGAATCCGCAGTTCTCAGTCAGCTTACTATATAGACTAAGCATCTGTACCTTGAAACCTGTAATAGGCTGGTCTAAAAAAAGGAGGTCAGTAAATCCCATAGAGGTTGCTTGTGAACTATCTCATGATCCCATAAAATATAGTGTGCTTTCACAAAGGCAAGCTAACTGTGGGCACTTAGAGAATCCCAGTCTATTTCTTTGAATCCTTTACGTCTCATACAAACACACAAAGGCAAGCTAACTGTGGGCACTTAGAGAATCCCAGTCTATTTCTTTGAATCCTTTACGTCTCATACAAACACAAGCCAGCACAGTGGGTGGAATTTCAAAATACGGCCCAAGGTTGGGGACCACTGCCTTACGTCTCATACAAACGCAAGCCAGCACAGTGGGTGGAATTTCAAAATACATTTTTGAATAGCATGGAGGGGTTCAGGGTACAGGAGAAATCCTTTCTTGCAACCAGATGTTCATATGACATGGATTCAAACTTCTGAGATTTAAGACTGAATTTCAATTGTCTTTTCTTTATTATACACTCTCTGTACTGTGCATTATTTGGACATGATTTGTTTGTAAAGTAACCTTCCAAACCTGGGGCTTCCAGATGTTTTGGAGTACAACTTCTTTCAGTCCCAGCCAGGACGAGCCAGTGGTCAAGAATGATGAGAGCTATGGTCCAAAACATCTTTAGGATACCACGCTGAAGAAAGCCAGTCTAAAGGAAAATGAGAATTTAAAATGTCTGCAGATCTATGTCAGGCTCACAAGAGTTGTGGTATTCTCTGCATAGAAGATGTGCATGCCTCTACATTTCCTATGTGTAATCCTGTTGAAAGGAAGAATTTGTGACAAAATGTTTCTGAAGCAGAAATTTGTTCGTTCTTATCAGGTTTGAAGGGGTAAATAGCTTTTAAAGTGGTAAAAAGCTGGACTGGAGAAGGCATATCTGGCCTCAGTCACACTTCATGATATCACATTTGTTTCAAAGTAGCGTCATCATACTCCTTGCAAGGACAAGAAATTACACATATTCTATTGTATTTAATCTAGTTAGCAATTCATTTTCAGGTTCTAAGTTTTATACTTTGTATGAAGGTATTGTGAGAAGTCATGGAAAAGTGGGATATACCGTATTTTTTGCACCATAAGATGCACTTTTTCCCCACAAAACAGGGGGGTGGAAAGTCTGTGCGTTTTATGGAGCAAAGAAAACAGATTATATTTTCCTGTTTTCTTCTAAAAAATCGGTGCGTCTTATGGAGCGAAAAATACGGTAAATAAAAAATCAGCAGAACTGAAGTCCATTGTGATTTATTTGTAATCAGCATTGATTGTTTTCATTAGAGTTCACTAAAGATATACCAAGAAACCCATCTGGAATATGCTCGAGTGAAGGAGGAAATGGACAAAAGTGATGCTGTGTGAGTAATTTCATTATAAAACACCAATTTCTTTTATCATGAACATTCTTGAGTGTAGTAGCCTTGGGTTGAAATGAATTGTACACTGTTGTACACAACATAAATTGATAGTTAATGAAGAGACAGAACACCATATTAGATTAGCTTCAGGCATTCCAAGGAGAGGTAAAACTAACCTGTTCTGTGCAGATTTTATACTTCTCATTGTTGTTATTGCTGACTGTATTTTCATCATCTACATACCATAGTGTGGTGGTGAGCAGGAGGGGCAGAATTAGGAACATAGCTAATTTTGTGGTGGAACATCTACTTTAGGGAAAAGATTCTTGAGTAGGAAGCAATGGGAAAGGGGATAGATTAGTATTAGTTCACCTTGCCAGTTTTCTGGATGAAAATGAGAGGTTGAGTTTGCTCCCCCCAAGAAATGTACAAAGTTAGTAAGCTTTGCAGTCCTCTGTATCTAAACTAGAAACATGAAGCTCAAGAGTTAATGGATGAACAGAGAATTTCCCCTCCTAAGAACTGGTTGATTGATTTACCTACCTACCAGCCACACTATTAGTGCATAACACTATTCTAGGTGGTTGACAATATAATAATAAAACGTCTAGAATATAATTAATATTAAAATCAATTTACTTTGTTTTTCCTGAAAAATTTAAAAAGGACAAAATATTTAATACATAATAATATTATATTGCAATTGAAATTTGCTAGAACAGGTCTTTTTGTTTTGTAACCAGAGTTTAGCAATCAGTGATTGTCCCTTAATTGGCCATTTTACCAAGCAGGCCAGCTCAGTTATATATGAAACTTCTGCCAAAAAGCTGTATACTAAATTTCAGATAGAAATCTCTGAGTAGTTTTAGCTTGGCCAAATGTTTGCAATAAAAACAAAGCCATTATCTGATGCTAGAAGTTATTTGGGAGGGGAGGCTATTTTGTTTGTAAATTTGATTTGGCTCGTTGCATTTGCCAGTTGCAGTATTTTGTTTTATTTCTCCACCACTGTCCTCAAAACACTGTCCATGTAAATTACCAGACATTTTTACATCTCTAATCAGAAGACTGCAGGGCATTTTCTGGCATTCTAAGCCAGATGCATTGGTTCAGCCAAAAGACCCACACGGAAGGAAATCATGGGCCACTTCTGATTTAGTTGACCACTCCCTTGGAATTCTCCTACGTATAGAGAACTCTTTGGTGCTTTTCTGGTGGACACCCTGAGCTCTTCTTGTCATGTCCTCTCTTACCAGATAAGCTGTAACCACATACTTCTGTTCTGATAAGTGGAGGAGACCTGAATCTCCATCTTCCGTACATTCAGAGTCACCATCAGCCACCACTGTTTGCTCCCCAGAGTTGTATGCTGTGTCTCCTTCATGACTGTTACGCTGTCTCCTCCCCATCTTGATGTGTGGGGCATACTTTTAAGGTGAATTGTTTATCACATGTGTTGAGATCCATAGGAATCCAGCAGTGGGCTCAGGTTCTGCTTCAAAGTTAGCAAAATATATGATTAAATGTTAAATTGGTATTGATATTATGTATGGTATGCTAATTGGACAAAAAGCCAATATTAAGAGTGAATTCTGTATTTCTGTGTATTTTTTAAAATATGTGATCAGGAAGAAGAAACTAGAAACTAAAGTGAAGAAACTCGAAGGTAATTCATTTTTTAAAAATTTGTATTGTAAATAATGGGGTTATTAATAGTCCAGAGTGACTATCATTTATGAGAAGAAATTTATAGCAACATTTATACCTCACTTTTTAATCTTAAGTAAATGTATTTACTCAGACATGTTAAGCTGTCTTACTGCTAACTCCTTCCTTGTGTCTTCCCCCCCCCACACACACACTTCTTGTGAAACTATAATGTTAGAAATGTGTTTAGTCTAATTCTAATTCCATGTGTTAGTGATAATTCACAGCTTGGAAGAATCCAGCCCTCTTGCCCATGCCTTGTCAGTTATATGCAATGCTGTCATTGAAGCTCAGCAAGAGAATTATTTGCATTCTGTCACCACTGCAGAGGGATGCTTTGCTCCCCTGGGTTTCCTTCACAAGTGACTATTTCATCTAAGAATTACATAAAGAGAAAAGGAGGTTTTATTTTCCTCTGCCACACAGCTGAAGTTACTTTTTAGCTCCTGTAATCAAAGTCTGCAGTTACTAGAATTGGAGTCTGTTTTGAAGCATTCAAAAGTGAGGTAGTCCAAGTGAAAGGCTGGTCTTAGTACTGCTTATGAGAACACCTCTAGGACTTCTGGAATTCTCTGCAGAGGGTAATCCGTATCCTTTCTTGTTGAAGGGAGATAGACAGAATTTCAGGAACTAGAAATGTTCAGAAGATCTGTAAGTGTTGTAAGAAAGGATATCTCTGTATTGGATAGTTCAGGTGTGCATTATAATTAAGGTCAAACCACTGTTCGGTTGACTGTTGCTGGAAGTATATCAGGTTAAAAAGGGAGAAGAGTATGAAGGATGAAGGCTTAGGAATGGTGAGAAGGAGTGCATTCTCTCATCCTTTCATACTTTATGGTGTTTTATTATTATTTTTTTATCTGATAGCACTACAGTCTCAGAAACTGGTGTCCCTTGCAGTGGAAATGTGCAAATATATATTTTTATGGGAACAATTGGTTTTTATTAACTTTTAGTAAAAATCCTACTCTAGGTTTTAAAGAGATTGTTAGACAGGTTTCTAAGATACATGTCTGTATTTGGAAGTAAAACTGTGGTGCTGATGCATGGTGTTTTACTGTGGCTGTTCACAGAGCCAAGCTGCACACTTCCAGTGTGATGAAATCTTAATGAAATACATACATGATAACACCAAGCTGGTTGCTGCAGCCTTGAATAAACTGAGAGTTTGACAAACCAGAATGGGAAGATACCATCACACCAGTGCATGTTGTCCTTGTTTGCTGGCTTTTATGGCAATTCTGAAGTCAAGTTGAGTGGACTTAACACACTTTTGTTGTTGTTATTTTAAATAAAGAGGCTGCAGCAAAACATATCCAGGAGTTCAAGCAACTGAAAGCAGAAAAGAAAGTTCTTGAGAAGGAATTGAAGAAAGCACAGGTAAGTTTTTAAATCAAGTAGTTTATTACAATTAAAGAAGTACTTTTCTTTGACTGTTGTGGTTGTGCACATTTCAACTAGTAGTTCTTCAAGCTACAGAGTAAGTGCTACTCAGAGTAAGCCTGTCCCCAGGAATTCATCTAGTATTTGTTTCTGAGGTGTCTAGTGTGTTGTGTTTTGTGCACCATCTTTTCCTCAGTTTTTTCTCATTGTTCTTCATTCCTCACCAGCTCAATGACTAGTAAAATCAATTATTTCATGACCCCTTTGGGAATTTTATTGATACAGGACTTGCAATACAAAGAGTACTGTTTTGGAGATTGACTTCATGTTTTGGCATTGTGGCCTGCAAGTAGGATAGCAGAAGAATGCATGTTGGTAGAGAATGCAAGTGATTAAGGAGCTTAAATAATCGTCATGGTGGTGGTGGTGATGATTTAGGAGTACTACTAAGAGGGATGATACTTTGAAGCAGTGGTTGGTGATGTTATACCTGTTGGCACCAGTGCATCCCCCTACAAATTTAATTGTATATGCCAACGTACCTTATCCCAATTAATTTATGTCCCCCTACAAATTTAATTGTATATGCCAAGGTACCTTATCCCAATCAATTTATGTTTATGTTTATTTTTGTTTTGTTTTTATTTTTGTCTTTTTATTATTTTTATTTTTATTTTTGTTTTGTTTTATTTTTATCTTTTTTAAATTTAAGTCTCTTAATTGAAGCTATGAGGGCCTCCATGTAATGCCATCTTTGTTTCCCATGAATGCCTCTTTGCTGATACTTTCCTCAGCAGCATGCTCGGCCACCAAGGAAAAAAGGGGGGATCAGGTGCTTCAGCAACTCTTTTTGCTACTGTCTTGCAAGGGGTAGTATGATGCAGAGAACAGTGTGGAAGAGTCTTAAGAAAAATCACATTGGAGTTGGGTTTGTGGAAACATGCAGGGGCCTGATCTCAGAACACCAGCTGAGAATGTTTTTTTTAAATTAGGGAGTGTTTTGACTTGTTTGTGTGAGAGTGTGTTGTATGTGTGCACATGGTTTTTTGCTGGGGATGGGACATGCTGAAAGGGTTTATGGGTGAAGCAGAGAGAGGGAGGAACTTGGAGGGGTCACCAAGAATAGTGAATGTAGTCTTTGTGTGCTTGCAGTGAGAAGAAAGGAATGTGTGTGCATGTTTGTAGATATGTATGATATATGTGTGTATATGGAGATGTGACAGATGTGTTTGTGAGCATATGTGTATCAATCCAGGGTAAGAGATAGTGTGCACACAAGGGATGAATATAAGCTTATACTCCTAGACATTTAACATGTGTTAGAGATAAGAATAAGCCATCCTAAAATATACCTTTCAGTTATGCATGAGACTTGTAAAGCTTTTGAGAGACCCATCTTTTTGCATACTAGAAATTTTGAGTGGTGTTTAATTTTAACAACTTTGGTTTTTCCCCATTCATATTTACAGGAAAAGACTGGCGGCTTTCCTGGTAAAAAGCAGAAGAAAGGTGATTCTTCTTTTCTATGTTGTTGGCATTTCAAATTTAGGCTCAAACCTTAATTACTGATCTGTTATATCTGTGTCTACCTATTTCCTCTCAGTCTTGAAGAATGCAGAGACCCAGAGTGAAAGAGAGAATCCAGTAGGAAATCTAAACAAAGGTTGGTATGTATACATCATTCTCCTCTTTCATAAAAGAGGGTTGCAGTTGTTCATGTTGACTGTTCTTTGGTCAGCTGTCTGTGCACATCCTGGCATAAAGCCTCATGCTTCAGCTTTACATATAAAGATACTGCATGGTGGTGCCTCAAATCATGGACATCTGGAGCCTTGCATCATGTGCAGGGCTCCAGAAACCATATAAGTAGTAAATAATATCCTTTAACAGAAAACTAAAAAGTTCTGTACATTTGGTACATACGGATTTATCTCTAAAGCTAATGTGTGCAGTCGTGAGGCTTTTTTCTTGATCTATTGAATGTCTGTTTGTTTACATTTCTAATAGCTGGAAATGATTATTAGGACCTCTAGTGCAGCCTGTGACACCCCAGTACACATTGTGCAAATAACTGTACCATTTGGGGGTGGAAAAAATCTGAACTCAAGATGGCTGATACTTCAGAATGTCGCCTAGTAGTCTCCTTGCTTCCTTGACGTCAGCAGTACAAGAGCATAGAAGAGTGCAGTGTATTGGAACATAGCAGCTTGTGGAAATTGGAGTTTGTCTAATTTGGAATGGCAAGCAATGCTCTAGGCCTTATGATATTGGAAAACAGAGGGTATTGGCCATGGCTGTAATTCTGATGGAGGAATTCTGGAGGGGAACATGTTGAGCTACGTTAGAGTTGCCTGATGATAGGGTATCTGCTGTATTGTAATAATGAGGCCACATCTCAAAAGCACTTTCAGATCATTTTGAAAGGCCAATTTCAGAGGAACACAGCTCTGAAAATGATGCCATAAACAGTACTAGCCTATCAAAATCTTACTAACTTATTTAACCAGGCATCCCCTTTGCTTTCCTTTACTCATGTTGAGCGCAGTGTTGTGGTAGCTTCTAGGAGATAAATGAAGGGACCAATTTGCTTTCAAAGATGCTTTCTCACCTGATTCAATTCCTGTTCCAGATGACCAGGTCTTTATCAATGCATGTCTTTTTGCATACAAGCACCAAATAATTAAATTATGGCCAGAAAGTGTTTAGAATGCCAACACAGGGGTGAAACAGAAGCTCTGCTTAATTCCAGTTTTCTTTTTAGTCCACAACCTAATTAACAAAAAGGCAAGCAGAGACAAGAAAAAAATGATGCAATTCAAATTGACGTTGTTGTATTGTTGATTGTGCTAGCAGGACTTAGTTCTCCAAGGAGGCATAGGGCTCAGGAGAGTTTTAAAGAAAGGAAAAGAACATTTTGGTTTGCTCATGACTTAACGTTTTGTACAAAGTCAAGCTTTCTGTTAAATATTACAGAAATGATGTTCTTGTGCTCTGATAACTGTGATGGAAATGTTTGTTTTGGTGTGTATCTTGGATTTCTCTGGACTCTCTGAAATCTTTTTGTTTTATTCTTACATAGCAGTAACTAGCTTTATGGGAGTGCATTTTGCAACCATAGATCCACATTCTTTTTGAAAAATCTCCCATTCAAGGGTCTTTCAGCTGTGAAAAAAACAACACTATTTCATTTATTTGTACTTACTTGTCATAGAGTATCCTTCAGTCACATGCCCAGGATGTCTTATAAGAAGGAGTTCTGACAGTTCAACAATACGTTCCAAGTGTGGTTCTACACCATTTTTGCCAGGATGCTGTCCTCAAAGTCATGTATCAGCAGCTTATGTTGTGAAGAAGTACCATAACAATTTAGTGACAGCAACAGCAAAGGCAAAGGTCAGATGGGGGTCACAAATACTTTTTTTTCTCTTTTTGCTGTTGTTAAAATAATCTGACATGGGCACCTCTTTGAAAACATAATGGCTTAGATACTACTTTATTCCACAGAAAAAATTAAGCTTCTATTGAAGGAACTCTGGATGTGCATTGATGGCTCTACACCAAGTCAAATCAGCAGAAATGATTACTTCTTAGGTGAGCAATGCACTGTAGTTCTAGAGATAATTGAAACACTTTTTACAATGTCTGCTGTTTTCTGTAACAGTGAATAAAAATTGTCTCTTTCCCCCAACTACAGCTGATTTACATGATCATTCCCGCTCACATGGAAAAACTAGTGAGTACTTTTAATATCTTCCCTGCCTCTCTCTTCTGAGCTCTCACTGTGTATTGCTCACACACTGAGTCTGTTCACACACGATTTGCTACCTGAAACAGGCAGTCTTTGGTCTGCACTCATCCTCTGCTCCTTTTCTCTCTGGGGAAAGCTGGTGGTCAGATTGAGAGATCCTGCACTACTTTGAATAAAGAATCTCTTGGTCTCTGGAGATTAAATTCTGAATTAGGGAAAGCCTATTATCATGTGATAATGAGATAAGCCCTCTCAAATTGGCTATTCAACGTCCCATATGAGGAGAAAAGAGGACTCTTGCTCCTATCAATTTTCCAGAAGCTCAGGAGGAAATATCTGAATAATGCCTATACCATACAAGCTACAGTAGAAATGTGCTTTTATTTATTAATGTCAGAATGCCTAGCCTTCAAACAGGAAGTCTTGATAAAGATGCCTCTGGGTACTGTGGATTTCTGTCTCAGAGGTGCAATGTATGATTGCTGGGAGGAGCACGCGTATCTTTGTTAGGATCCCTGACATATTTTAAACAAACAAGTAAAATTTATTATAAAATTTATTTTATTTATTTTAAAGTTTATTTTGATGGTAAATTGTCAACCCGCAAAGCCCTCTAGTTGTATAGAGTGAACACTAGACAAACACATAATACTCTTGATTCAATCAAAGTGAAGACACATGCATTTCAGCCACAGTGTTTTTGTTCCGAAAGAAGCTTGTCCTGGTCCAGCATACCACTATTGAATATGCATGCTGACTGCTAGTTTCCATGTAGAGCGTTCATATTATCCTGATATTAATTGTGTGGAAATCACATCGTAGTTATAGATCAAAATAAGGTAGCAGTTAGGGTTACATCATCAAAGAACTAGAACAGATCATTTTGAAAAGCTTAAGTTTGGATCTTCCCAGCTTTCAGAAGGTAAGGAAAATAGACATCTTGTTTTAACTGTGAATTATTTCCTATCCCATAGAAACAATGCAGAATCTTTCAAAGTTCAAGAAATCTCAAGGAAAGGCTCCTACTTATAGTTCTTCAACTGAAAGCCACACACCACAAACTTCTTTGACATCACTTCAGATAAAATTGGACAACAGTCCTGCCAGATGTGGTGATCCACCAGAAAGCAAGGGCATGGAAACTACTGATGCTTGGGACAGTACTCTTTGTAAAAACCAGTCTCTACAGCACATCACTCAGACAGATTTAGCAGCAAGTTGTATGGATCATTTCAACAAGGATCAGGAAGAACTTGATGAAATTATGAGAGATGTTTTCAATTGGTTTACACCTCTTCCCCCTCTGCTGTCTCCCATAAAGTTTTCACCTGCTGCTACTCCAGTAAGTTTCAAAATGACTTAAAAGTAAGCAATATAATATTATGATGGTAATTGACTTCATAAATTGCCACAATACTGCTGAGGCTGGATACTTTTTTGCCTAAGGTGGCATGAAAGAGCTATTGTTGTCCATTGTGAGCAGTCAGCCTACTGTTGTCTTAGATAAACATGCTTCACAGGTTTTTTAACACTTTGAAAACTGAAAAAATGTTATTGCCAAGGTAGCAGTTAGTCAGTGAATCAATGTTCTGGGGTGAGTAGTGCCTCTTTCACACACTCTCAACCTTTGTCTATTTAAAGGAGCAGATAGAGCCGATTCCTAAGCATATAGGTCAGAATCCTGCTTTATCCATTTATATATTGAATTGCCTAACCCACCAGGGCAAATTGCTACCAACTAATAAGGTGCTGGCCACATTAGAAGTCATGTGCCTCATTGTGCAACAGGCAAGGCATGTGCCTGGAAATGCAGTTGACACATTACAGTATTTGGTGTAAATTCACTATGGTGAGTTAAATTATTTAACTTATGGTTAAATCACCAGCAGGATTCTTGCTATTAGATCCAATTCAGTATGCCACATTATAACAGGCTTGAACATAAGCAAGCTGTTTTAAACTATCGGTCCCTTTTCCACATCAGAAGATGATCCTTTAATATTCAGTACCTGTCTTTTCATGTACTATAATGCACTGTAGATGTGGGTTGTCTAGGAACCTCTGTTAGCTCAAAAGGCAGTGTTTGTTGTTTCAACTGATATGCCTCCTCATAGTGTTAGAGCACTCTCTGGGTGGTTTACACCATAATTGTGCAAAGAATGTGCCCCCACCCCCCGTGAATGGGTCCTCATTTTACTGACCTCAGAAGGATGGAAGACTTTGTCAATTTTGAGCTGGCTGCCTGAACCCATTCAGACTGAACTCAGGTTGTGAACAAAGGTTTGACTGCAGTTTAACCACTGCACCATGGGCCTCTTGTTATATTGAACAGTCTGTCATATTACTGAGAACTAGAGCTAAGTTGTCATTAAAAGATACAGCTGTTTAAAGATGCCTTTAGTAGCCATGTAGGCATGTACATTGATTGGTTGGGGAGGGAGGGTTAGTTTAGTTTAGTTTCATTTTTTTTATTCCAGATCACAACATTCTCAATTCTGGAAGCTCTGCTCTGGTGTAGCTTCCTTTTCTAACAACAGATTATACCCAAGTTTGGGCCATGAGGCCTTCCAGCCCAGCCTTTGTCCAGGTGAGCACAATACAGGTACCTTGTCTGTCCATCCAATAGAACTTCCAGAAGGGAGAACTCTGGGATTTGAAATCCAGAAAAAGAAGAATGCACACACCTAGTGGTCTGTACCCATTTTGCTAAAAAAGTGGTGAACATTATAATTTGTATTGTTACGGCAATTATTGTATTACCAACTCTCATTTATCTCTTTAAGGATATATTGTTCGGAGACATAACAGATTCCAGTGATGATGAAATGAATGAAAATGCACAAATGCTGGAAAACATTATGGAAAAAAGCGATCAGAGTGAACCAGCAATTGAAACTGTTCAAGAAAATCATTCATCAGGATCTTGGAACAAATGCAGCAGTTCTAGTATTAATCTTGCAAATAATGATCTTCAAGAACCACCTGAAAAACTCAGAAAATTAAGGGATGAACAGTCAGTTCTGTATCCTGACCCTTTGACAGCAACATCAACATACTTTAGTGAGAAAGATGCCACATCCAAGAATCAAGAGAGGCATCTAGAAGAGAATTCTGACTTTATGGAAATACACACAGTGACTGGCAAAACAGCACATAGTACAGAAAGCTTCAGTGAAAAGACTGTCAGTACAACAGATAGACTCCTGTTGCCAAGTTTAATGTCCATTAACCTACAAGGTCAACAAGAAACAGTCAAACCAGTGTATGTTCAGGAAATGCTTACAGGAAGCATCGTGGATGTGCTAGAAGACTCCAGTGCCTTTAAAGAAGAAAAAGGAAAGAAAGAATTAGCTAGAACAAAATTAGACGATTGGCCTCAGCCACTTCAAGATAGAGACCCTCAGAAAATTGAAGGACTGACAGGAGGAGGAGTGAAAGATGTCAGTGACAACATCCAGTCTGAAAGTAATTCCATAAAAGCATGGTGTGTTGATGAAGAGCCCACTGAACAAAATGCAGCACCTGAAGTATGTAGTGCAGACAAAAATGACGAACAATTCATGGAAAAGAAAATGAATGTCAGCACCCGTAAATCCCTTTTTGGAGCAGAACGTCAACTTGAGCTGGTCCAGCAGCAGAGTGCTGAGGTGCCATTTAGACAGCCCAGCAAAAAAGTGATTAATGCCTCAGATACAGGTACCAAATCACAATATGTAGAAGAAGGCCATAGCCGTGCACAGAAATCCAATGAGCAAAATGAGATGGAAGCAAATGGCAAAGGATTTGTGAATATAGATGCTCTGAGTCCAGAGCTGCATTTTACATTGGAAGCAGTTGGATGCACTGAATCATTGTGTCATGTAGATGAAGTAGTACAGATAGGAAATGAATGCAGCATTACTGCTTCTGTTCCTACCAAAAATATAGATGATAATCCACTGAAAACAGCAGATAGCATGACTGAGGAACCAAAATCAATGGACATAAAAAAGGAAGGTCTGCAAGAAGAACAGGTAATGGACCAAAAAGTTTTTGCTAAATTACCACAAGAGACAGGTGGTAAAAGTGATTCAGTGATACCAGCTCAAACATTTGTCATCAAAAACACTTTGCTACTTTCTGAAGGACTTGTTGAATCTAATAGTGTGGCCTTTGAACTGGAGAATGTCACTGAAAGTGCTTCAGAATTGGACTGCACTGAAAATATGGGCACTGAATCTAAATGTGCATCCAAAGTAGATAGTGTTTCAAATAGCTTTCAGACTGCAGAGATATCTAAAGAAGAGGAATGTTTGGTTTCCAGCAGCATACAGGAAAAAGGCAATGAATCACTGAATATCACAGAAAAAGAGGCCATACATTCTCTTATGGTAGGAGAAGGCGAAAAACCATCTGCTTTGGGAACTATGTATAATGAGAAAGTGAGTTCATTATCTAGAAATCTACAGTGTGGAACAAATGACACATCTCAAGAGATGTCAGATTGGTATGGTAAGAGCAATTCATCTTCTCTAAAGAAATATGCTACAGAAGAGACAGAAAAGAATGATGGCTATTCTGTAGCAAAGGAGATGGTATCAGAACACATCAAGAATGAAGGTGCAGTTCCATCTGAGCAAAATGTGTCAGAGCCTGAAAACAGAGATATTGAAACAATTTTGACCACCACAGTGAAGTCCACTACAGAATCCATTGGTGTCACTTGTCCTAACCTTGAAGTCAATCTTGGGCATTTAAGCAGAAATGTCCAAAACTCTGGTGATGATTCAGTTGCACCATCTCACATCCCAACATGCATTGTACTTTCGTCTATAATTAGAGAAATGCGTGCTTGTGTTAATTGTCCTAATTCCGGAGAAGGTTTGAAGGGTAAAGAGGGAAATATTAATGATTCTGAGGAAAGTAGCCATAGAACCATTGACTGGCTTTCTAACAGTAAAAATGAAGTACAGTCACTTTCTGGTGAACTGCAGGCACTAATTAAAGGTTATCATGGTGGAAATAAGTCTGAAGCATTGACTCCTGAAGCTTCTAGTCTAAACAGTATAGATGTTCCGACACAAAACAAATCAGTCCAAAATGATGAGGAACTTGTTATTCCTGATAAATCAGGGACATCTTCAAATACTGTAAAACAGACCCTTGAAGCAACAGCTAAAGAAATAGCTGCACTATTAAGCAGTGATATAAAATCTGAAACTGTGGATGAGGCAAAGATGTCAGAAAATACGATTGTGAACTCACCTGTCTCGGATTCCTCAGAAGAAGAAACTTGCCTGCTAAGAAAGGTGGATTTCACAAAAACACCTCCAAGGTTTGCAACAGCCAAAGATGGATTGGAGGGCATAAGAAGCAGTCCTACAGGTACATTATCTATTATAAGTCCAGATGATGACGTGCATGAGTTATCTCAGGATGCAGAAAGTGCCTCCCTAAAAGATGGACAGTCTGCAATATGTGACACTGATTCTCAGATGATTGCATGGGAACATTCATATGCAGAAAGGTTAACATGTAGTGATGAAAATGCCTTATTAGAATTGGAAGACTCTATAGCAACAGAGAAGTCAGGTGAGAGGCAAACCGAACAAAATATTCCACCAGTTTTTTCACTGCCAAGCCAGGCACTAACATATGAGAAATCTCTCTCCAGAAAGTTGTCAGCCAGAAATCTGGAGATTGATAGTGATACATCAGCACCAGACACAAAGCACAGTGGTGTTAGTGTAGAAACCTCTGACGTTCAGTCAAACATTTCTGAAGAGAAGTCAAGTCCTGCGCAAGGAAGAAGCTTTGCTGCTTCAGATTTGGAGCAAAGCCAGTTAACATCTTGCCATGCTGAAGATGGTAATAACAAGGAATGCTGCGTAGAGAATAAGGGAACAACTCCTGCTGTTAAAACCAACTTGAATGCCATGCCACCCACCTTCGAATCTTCCAACTCTATCTCTGAACAACAGAAATTAGTATCTGTGAAACTAGACTCGCTAGTTCTTTTTGAACCTTGTCCAAAAAATGGAGCGGAGCAGGTTTCTAAACCAACAGATTCTATAGATGCTGCAGATGTTAAAAGTGGACAAGACAGGCTCTTCCACAGAATACCAAGCTTTAAAGGAAGAAGGAAGAGTCGCCATACCTTGCTGACTGAAACAATATTAGCTGAGGCAGATACTTCTGCACCAACGAAACATTGTCCAAAAACTCTAGCAAAAATTAGGCAAGAAATGGGTCCCCCTCTACCACCTTTGCTCCCCCCTCTGTTAGCTACGCCTCCAAGAACTGTTAAGCCTGTTTCCCCAAGAATGTCTTTGTCTAGGCAATCTTCCTTACCATCCTCACTTCATGAATTAGTTTCTCCTTTATGTGAAATTCCAGTTTCTCCATCGATGTCACCATTGTCAGATACTCCAAAATGTGAATCCACAGCTACATTGACCACCCCATCTCCTTCTGAAATGTCAGTAGGTCAGAGAACTCTGTCTTCTCCCCTTCAGTTTTGTGCCACCACTCCTAAGCATGCCCTTCCTGTGCCAGGCAGACTTCCTCCATCTGCAGCTAGCAGTGGAATACCATCTGTGCCTCAGGAAAATTCAGTGAAAATTTTGGACAGCATGTATCCAGAGCTATCTGCTCGAGCAAGAACGCTCAACATCCTGAAAGGTAACATTCAGCTCAGTAGGTCTTCTTCTCTAGATAGCAAGAATATCCCTCAGCCTGTCCATCAAATCAGTGGCTTTAAAGCAATCAATTCCACATCCACTGTTTTTGTTAAAACAGGAACAAAAAACATGTCTTATCCAGACCAGCCATTCTCCAGTATGAATGAGACTGGGAAAAGGACACTGTCATCAGTAGCTATGCCAAAGGGTGCCAAAAGGCCAAGGCTGAATAGCAGGTTACCAAATTTGGAAATCTGCAAGGAAGAGCTTTCATCTGTAGTCTCAGATGTGGATCATCAGTGCCCTGCTGATGAAACTGTCTCCCTGGGCAATGAGGATGCCACTCATTCAGTTGGTGACTGCAATTCAGAACTGCCTTTGTCATTTGAAAAAACTGATGATCCTGACAGTAGAGCTGTGGCTGCAGCATTGGAAAAGATTGCCAAAGACTGTTTTGACGTATTACCTGTTATTCGTAGCCATGTTCTTGTAGGCAATACGTTAAGGGTACCAGTAATGAGAGATGAAGAGAAAGAAGTGGTCTATGAACTCAGTGTTGCAAAGAAGGTCAGTTACCTTTTTAATCTAATTACCAGTATGCTTGAACAAGCAATTATTTGTGGGATGATCAAAGTAATAATTGGATAGTCACCTCCATAAAACCCACCATAGATTTGAAAAGGTCTTTGATAATTTTCAGTCCGTACGAATTTTAGCTAGAGGGGCAGAAAGTGCAATCAGTCTGAAGATTTATTTTCATCATTAGAATTGTCTGTGCTCTTTCAGGTATCTCACAGTCTAAGGTTGGCCTCTCCTGGAATTTTCAGTACATTAATTTAAACCTATATTTAGAGTTCATCTTATATTTTTCAAAAACTTAAATAAATAATCCCGAACATAATCTATAAAGGTTTTAAGACCTTTAGAAGATGCCAAAGATGGATGCTGGAACACCAGAGTGGGACCTGTTTTGCCTAAAACAGACTATTTCAAGTTGTTTTGTATTGAGTAACTCAATCCTGCAAGAAATTTCTAGTTTATGAATGTGGGACATTCCTTCTCTGCCAGTGGTTCAAAATTAGAGTCAGGCACTTCTTATTTGTATCTCAGGGGTATGAATACATTCACCACAGTGATCCAATTTCCACTCACCCCCCCCCCAGAACCCAGCTGGATGACTCAGCAGGCTCCATGTGGCACTGGGGTCCTTCAGTGGCGGCAGCACACTAATTCCAGCAGGAGCCCGACTGGCCCTTCCCTGCCTCCCCGTACAGCCAACTGCTTCAGTGGCCGGCTGCTTAGGGAGGCAGAGAAGGGCCAGCTGGGCTCCTGCCAGAATTGGCTCACTACTGCCCCTGAAGGACTCGTGCTTGCCGGAGCTCAGTGAGTCGCCCAGCCGGTCCTGGGGGATGGGAATTCAGCCACTGTGCTGCTGTGAGTCATATTCATATCCCTGAGATACAAATGCGAAGTGCCCGACTTTATTCAGAATAACGAAATGGTTCAGAATTGCTTTGCATTGCCAGCAAGAAAAAAAAGGATGCCAAGCTTTGCATAGAAATGGCCAGCTTGCATGTTGATGATACCCATATCAGTCGGGATAAATTACAGGATCCCCTTTTATGCTCATTACCATTCACAGAAAGATACCAAGCAAGGGAAAACTCCAGAATCTGACTCTTTTTTACCAGTTAATCATATCTTACTGAAGCATCAAGCAATTGTTATGGCTGTATTTCTACAGTTTCTCTGGGTATTTATTGTTTAGAGTAAAAATACAGCTATGAAAATTACATTGTACTTGGGTGAGATTGGGTTAATTAATAAAAAGGGGTACTTGGATTTTCTTTTCCTTGCTATCAGTCTGAATAGTAGTGAGCACAAGAGGGGATCCCATAGACCAACTTGACTGCTGAAATTGATATCTTCGATATCCAGGCTGAGCTTTGTATTGGGAAGCCTGGGATCCTTTTCTTGTTGGCAATGTGGGCATGGTATGTCACTGCAGTGGCAGACATTTTGATTCATGGACACAGTGGCAATATTTTAAATGTATGTTACAAGTGACCCTGCCTGCCAGCATACTCACAGATGTCTGACCAAGTTCCATAATACATTTCTGCTAAGTTTATAGTCCTAACATACCATCTTGCCCAGGAATAAGTTCCTTTCATCTCAGGGGGACTTACTGCTAAGTTCACAAGTGCAAAAACACAGACTGGGTTACCTCTTGGAGATAAGCTTATTATGTTGAATGGGGCTGAATTTAAAGTACACCAACACTAGCTTGCTCTGTCTAAATACATATGAAAACAAGAAGGAAATTGGGTTGGACGGAGCATTTGCTTTGGATTCCTCCAACCAAAAAATTGCAAAGAAGCTCTCTGTCTGTGTCTCCCTTTCTCTTTCTGCTACCAATCTCTCTCTGTGTGTTGTCTTCCCTCTCCTCTGTCTGTAGCTCCCACCACTGCTCTAAGGCTCCTCACCCTCAGCCCATCCCATGTCTTCTCTGTCTGTGGATCCCCTATCTCCTCTCTCCTCTCTCTCAGTGATAGGCATCTGAAAAATGTTGACTATAGAGTTTGGTACAAGTCACAATAAATGATAGCAAAATGTGATCACTTGAAGAGAAGAGTTTTTTTTTTAAATGAGAACTTTAAAAGTACTTGTCTAGCCTTCTCTAAATTTGGCACAGAGCAAGCCCATACTGCCAGATACAGTTCTGAATCAAGAACCCATTCAAAACTTGACTCTTTGTTTGGACTGCCCCCTCCTATCAGTAGCTGGTTCCAGAATACCATTTTGATTGGTCACACATATCACAGATGCACTCTTGTACAACTTTTAATACCTGTGGGCCAGTTCATCTGGTCTAGTTCTCTGCTGTAACTAACCGTGGCTTTGTCAGATATCTGGCAAAGAGAGGCAGTCTAACTGCAGATGATGGGTACTGAATGCTGACATTTGTACCTGCAATGCCGATACTCTGCTGTTGCTCTGTGTTCCTTCTCCAGCATCTTCTTCAGCATAGACTGTACTAAGATTTGAACAATGTTTTTTGGGTGCAAAAGGAGTTCACCAGTGTGATTCAACACACTTCCTTTCCGGGATTACTTCCTCAGGGAGGCTTGTTAGGCTTTTCCCCTGTGTACTACTGTTCACTCTGGGCTTTTTCTGTAACACTTTTTATCAGGCTTCCCCCCCCCCGACCTTTGTTGCTGTTCCGTGGGATTTAGCTATTCATAATTGTATTATTTAAAGCTTTATAACATGTTGGTTTGAGTTGCACACAGCTTTGACTTCATTCTTAAGAAGGGTGGCATATTCTTTTAAAATATTTTTATAAAGCCTGCCTTGACAGATCTGCTCTGTCTTAATCTGTATCTTCTGTCAGAGGAAAGTTGTGTGTTATTTTATTATAAGATGTATTTTGTGTAGCAAAACATTCTCAGCAGTAAATATTGTTTTGCCTGTTCTAGTCCCTAGCTGAGCCAGCATTACAAGCTATTTTGAATAAGCTGAAGAAAGAGAAGATGTCCTTGAGCCACAATTATATTCAGTCCCTTTGCAGAGTATATGTGGGAATTTGCCGCCAACTGGGAGATTTAGAAAGAGCACGCCTGTTTTGCTACAGTCTCTTGAAGGAAGGTATGGTATAGTTTAGCCTCTTTAGGATTATAAGCAACTTATGTCTGTTATTCTGACTGAAGCCTTGATGAATATATATTGCTTCAGGTAAAGGTCCATTTAGTTTAAAGCAACTGCCAACCAATTAGAATTTACAGCCCTCATTCTTGTATCTCAGCCCAGAGCAGCCTTTCACTTGCAAGACAGAGGAATGGTACATGCTCTTCCTCCTTAGTACCAAACTCGCAGTGTAAACTGTTTGTATGAAGAGCTAACTGGAGAAGGTTGATCTGTAGGTTACTTTGTTTTACAAAAGGAGGATTATGTGAACTGGACTTTGACAGCGGCAAGGACCTCATGCAGAGGACCTGCTTCAAGGTTCTGGGCTGCCTTCATGGTGGAGAAGAGAAGTCTTCTCTTCCTCCAGTGCATTCATTCATTCATTTTGCTGCAGCTTAGTGAATCTATGTACAGTATTTAAAAGCAAACTTCACAAACTGTCCTGGAATCTTTTTATAATAGAAAAGAACCAAAACACAAAGCAGTGCGTAACATTCAGAATCTTGGCAGCAATTTTCAGGCTTTAAAGAGTCTCTCCACCCCATTTCACTGTTTCTGAAAGTTTCCTCAGGAGAAAAGATGTCCCTCAGGATCCCCAGAACTTGAGGCGGACCCGGGGATAAGACGTTTTTCATGATGTTTCCTTCCAAACAGCCGCAAATGGTGGCAATGTGCAAGTTGCATGGTGTGATATTCACCTCCTTGAGGCACCTATGTTTTGTGCCCTCACAAAGGTTCCAGTTGTTTTCCTTTCACTGTCACCAGTGGATTACCTCAATCCACAAAATAAATGACGTTTGATCATACACTTGTATGGTGAATGCAAACAAAACTTATTTACTAAAGTGAAGTCAATTTAATAATCACAGAAATTCTTCAGATGTACATACTATTCTCTTCCCATATAATTTCCACCTTCTCTATCTATTTATCTTAACCAGTCTCTAACTCAATCTCTATCTCTTCTGACTCTCTCTCCTGACTCCTCTCAGGCTCCGCCTTTTAACCTCCCTCAGCTCCGCCTCTTCACGACATTAGCGTAGACATGAATAATACATGACTTATACCTAACAAAAGGGTGAACGCTACCTACCTCCTCCCTTAAATATGTTTGTTTGGGAGGGAAAACACATTTTTCATCCCAAACATGTATCATTGCATAAAAACTACTTACCCTCTGGTACAATTTTGTAAACAATACAATATCATATATATCTGTAACAATATCTTCTCACTTTATACATTCCAATACAATTCAGTAATATACATTATCTTTTGATGGACACTTACGACATTAAATTTTCAACCTTACAGAAATATATCACAGTCTGGAAACTTTTACATAGATAATTAACCAGTAAATCAGTAGTCTATTCCAGTTCGTTTTAGAAGTCCTTGAATCATTCTACACATTTCAGTTCATCAGTATTCAGTTTTTCCACACTATACACAAAACATTTCTTATAACATTATCAGCTTGGTTGATCCCTCCTCCCCCCCCAAAAAAAAAAATCAGTCATTTGGCTTTGGAGGCACAGTCTGAGTCTCTTTTACTCCGTGGTTTGCAAAGTCCAAGTCTTTCACCTTCCCGTTGTAGTAAGGTGCGCCGTAGACTGGTCTGGTCGTTACTGCCTCCTTCAGCCAGACACACGACTGCTGGCACTCAGGGGTCCCTCTGATGATCACTGGCTCCTTCTGCGTTCTCTTCTGCCCAATTAAACAAGGTGCAGGAATTTGATCAGAAATTGCTATGTCCCAATTTCTGATCCAATCTTTATAGTTTATTTTCACTTTAGCCATGGGTAAAATCACTGGAGTAGAACTTATCCCCTTGATGGCAACAGTCTGGTTTGGGAGAATTTGTTCTTTAGAAATCACATCAGGATGACGCAGCGTTATGTTAGAACAAGTATTAACCACTCCCACATAAGACTTCCCATTAATAAGAATTCTCCCACATAAGACTCCCCATTAATAAGAATTCTCTCACCAGGATTATGTATTAAAATATCTTCTGCCTTTACTAGAAAGCAATGAACAACCTGGGCTAGTGGCAGATCAGAATTTTCTGTTGTGCCAGTTGCCATGGAGACAGAACTACCATTGTTACAGCCACCCTCAGTGGCCTCAACTGGTTTTAAACAGTAAACCTTCTTGGGCTGATTATCATCCTTCTCATTCCTAAGTTTATTTTTCATACATTTGAATTGTAAATGACCGAACTCCCTGCAGTTATAACACTGTTTATAAGTCCTTCTCTCATTTAGAGGAGATCTGTTCAACTTTAACTTTTCCTCAGGGTTCATTTGGGTCTGAGAACTAGGCCGAGCTAATTTAGGTGAAGTACTACCCCAGCCTTCTTTCTCTGATGCTTTGCTGAGGTAATTTTTATTAAAGGGTTTCTTATGGTTGTCCCAGTTTTGCTTATTAAATTTTACCTCAGAGAACTTGTAGTCTCGAATCTCCTCAATGTAATCAGCTGTTTTACCTGCTTCTAATAGATTTTTAAGATTTTTTTTCCTTAACTAAATAGCACAATTCCCCAGGCAAAATAGAATAAAATTGTTCTAATCCAATCACATTTTTCATCTGCTCTAGAGAAGTGACATGCTCACGTTCCATTCATTTGTCCAAGCATTGAAGAAGTTTAGCCCCTATCTGGGAATAAGATTCCTCAGGCATTTTGGTCAGGGAACAAAATTTTCTCCTGAGGTGTTCTGCATTAATGCCAAATCTAGAAAATACCATTTTTCTATATGCTTCAAAATCTCTAGCCTGCTCCAGAGGCATCTAAAAATACAGCTCAGCTAAATCTCCACTTATTTGGGATCTCAAAACCATCATCCTTAACATTAAAGCCCCAGCATGCCCTTTCAAATGATATGAGGAAAGATTCAGGTCAGTCTCCTTTCCTATACAGTGGTGCCTCGCTTAACGATGTTAATTGGTTAAAAAAAGCATCGCTATGGGAAAACATCGCTAACGAAACACGTTTTCCCATAGAGATGCATTGAAAACTGGTTAATCCATTCCAATGGGAACGGATTACCGTCCTTAAGCGGAAATGGCCATAGGAAACATCGCTAAGC